GAACATGTCACACAGCTGGTACACTCGCACACAAGAGAACATGTCACACAGCTGGTACACTCGCACACAAGAGAACATGTCACACAGCTGGTACACTCGCACACAAGAGAACATGTCACACAGCTGGTACACTCGCACACAAGAGAACATGTCACACAGCTGGTACACTCGCACACAAGAGAACATGTCACACAGCTGGTACACTCGCACACAAGAGAACATGTCACACAGCTGGTACACTCGCACACAAGAGAACATGTCACACAGCTGGTACACTCGCACACAAGAGAACATTTCACACAGCTGGCACACTCGCACACAACTGAACATGTCACACAGCTGGTACACTCGCACACAAGTGAACTTAATCTCATATCTACTATCTACCTAATTTCTAATAAAAATAATATTTAATATAATATCTCACAATATCTTACATAATATCTAATAATGATAATATCAAATATAATATCTCACAATATTTAAGGGGGAGGTATCCTCTCCGGAAAAACTTTTTTGTTTACGGACGGATCTTTCTGAAACTTCACACATATATGTAAAACCGAAATACAAGAACATTTTGTTCGTGTGATTTTTTCGGAAAAATTGATAGAAAACGTGAAATTCATAGAAAACGGACAATTTCTCACCGCCCAGGATCTTAATATATTATTATTTAATATATTAATATTAAATATTAATATTTAATATATTATCTCACAATATCTAAGATCATTTCTCACCGCCCAGGATCTCCTTGAAGAGCTTCACCATGACCTTCTGCTGCGGGATGCTGAGGTGGTTCTCGATGGACAGGATCACAGGATACGGGGACGTGTGGAAGGCGTAGCGTTTGATGGCATCCTTGAGGACGTCGACGAGGGTGATCTTGCTGGTCAGGGTGTGGCCGTGGTAGATTATGGGCTGGCCATCGTCCCCGTCCCATAAGTCCACTAAAGTCAAAAATTCATGTATTCGTTCGTTATTTACTAGAGAAATTCACAGCGCAAGAGTTACCCCATCCCATAGGTCCACTGAAATAAAAAATTCAAATATTCATTCGTTAGTCACTAGAGAAATTCACAGCGCAAGAGTTACCCCATCCCATAGGTCCACTGAAATAAAAAATTCAAATATTCGTTCGTTATTCACTAGAGAAATTCACAGCGCAAGAGTTACCCCGTCCCATAAGTCCACTGAAGTCAAAAATTCAAATATTTCTTCATTATTCACTCAGAACCATAAGTCCACTATAGTCAAAAATTCAAATGTTCGTTCGTTATTCACTCAGAACCATACGTCCACTTAAGACAAAAATTCAAATATTCCTTCGTTATTCACTAGAGAAATTCACAGCGCAAGAGTTACCACGTCCCATAAGTCCACTAAAGTCAAAAATTCATGTATTCGTTCGTTATTCACTTAGAACCATAAGTCCACTATAATAAAAAATTCAAAGGTTCGTTCGTTATTCACTTAGAACCATAAGTCCACTAAAGTCAAAAATTCATGTATTCGTTCGTTATTCACTTAGAACCATAAGTGCACTTAAGTCAAAAATTCATGTATTCGTTCGTTATTCACTTAGAACCATAAGTCCACTTAAGTCAAAAATTCAAATATTCCTTCGTTATAGTCACTAAAAGAATTCACAGCGCAAGAGTTACTGCTTAAATTGTACCTTAATGCATGTTCGAATGCAGTTGGAATGCATATTAATTCGAATGCATATTAATATACATTAATAAATCAAACATGATGCGGACACTCGTCCACTAAAATCAAAAATTCAAATATTCATTCGTTATTCATTTAGAGAAATTCACAGCGCAAGAGTTACTGCTTAAATTGTACCTTAATGCATGTTCGAATACCCATATTAATATACATTAATAAATGTATATTACATCAAACAACATCATTACAAATATGCATCAAACATTATTCGGCATTACTATAAACAATTTCAATGGAAAATTTAAGAAGATGTAATGATGCGGACACTCACTTTCGACCACGCGACACCCCTTCATTAATCGACATTACTATAAACAATGATTTATTTCAATGGAAAATTTAAGATGTAATGATGCGGACACTCACTTTCGACCACCCGACACCCCTTCATTAATCGGCATTACTACAAACAATAATTTATTGCGATGGAAAATTTAAGAACATGTAATGATGCGAAACAAATAAGCATCAAACAATAATCAGCTTTACTGAACAGAAAATTACTACTGAAAATTTAAGAAGATGTAGTGATGCGGACACTCACTTTCGACGACCCGACACCCCTTCTTGAGGGCTCTGATGTAGCCCTCCACGCTGCTCTCTCCCGTTAGCTGGTGACCGACCAGGTAACTGCGGGAGAAAATGTATTGTAACACAATGGCCCTTGTTTGACTTGAAATATCGATTTATTTCTGCTTGCACAAATGGAAATTCTGCTTACTCAAATGGAAATTTTGCTTACACAAATGGAAATTCTGCTAACACAAATGGAAATTCTGCTTACACAAATAGAAATTCTGCTTACACAAATGGAAATTCAAATGGTTGAAATCATTATAAATTCTGCTTACACAAATGGAAATTCTGCTTACACAAATGGAAATTCTGCTTACACAACTGGAAATTCTGCTTACACAACTGGAAATTCCACTGGTTGAAATCATTATTGCGACAAATGCAAATTTAGACTTTCACGATTTCGCTTCTGCATAAGGTTAGAGAAAGAAGGTAAATATGTTAACAAGTAGAAAATAATCTGTACTGATGGATAAAGGCTTTATTTCCAAGCACTCACTTAACTCTAAGTGATAAAAACTCACGGCAAAGATTAAGTCTTTTTTGCAACTCAAACACTATTCATGATGATGGTCAACTTCGACCTATCCGCCGTCAATTTTAATTTTTTTTTATAAATATTTCATTATTAATTTGGAACTGTATTATTCAATAAGTATTTTCTGATTGGGGTAAAAATAATATGGGTTTGTTGGCAGGTCGACGGGTATATTCACAACGATTGTCAACTTCAACTATCCGACGTCAATTTTAATTATTTTAATAAACACTTCATTATTAATTTGGAACTGTATTATTGAAAAGTATTTTGTGATTGCGGTAAAAATAACAAGTAGCATGGGTAGCATGGGTAGCATGGGTAGCATGAGTAGCATGGGTAGCATGGGTAGCATGGGTAGCATGGTTAGCATGGGTAGCACGGGTAGCATGGGTAGCACGGGTAGCATGGGTAGCACGGGTAGCATGGGTAGCACGGGTAGCATGGGTAGCATGGGTAGCATGAGTATCATGAGTAGCATGGGTAGCATGAGTAGCATGTGTGCTACAGGAACTGACGTGTTGTGCGACGAAGAGATGTAGTAATGGGCCAGAGGTTCCGTCATGCTCTGGTGCACGGTGCTCTGATGCTCGTAGTTGTAGATGTTGAAGTGATCAGACAACAACAGGTGGTAGAAACCTAAGAAAAACAGCCTTCAGTTGCGATACTTTCAAAACTCGCTAAGTGAACGTAAGTACTTACGCTCTATTTTCTTGTCTATGATTGGTGGATTTTGCTTGAAAGGCCGTCAATGATTGGCTGATGAACTTACGATCTCTTAACTTTCTTTGAAAGTATAGGCCCAGATGCGTTAATTTACTCACTTCGCGTTGCCTTCATAATTACTAATCAACCCAACTTTCAAACTCCCGTCAAATTAGATGGTAAACAAAATTACATGTTAACTAATGATAATATAGCAGTTTTAAATACAATCTAAAATTCTAAATAAGTACAATTATAAATTCCCCTTCTAATTAAATGATAAACTAAATTACTTGGTAATTGGTAACTAATGATAAATAGCCAGTTTTAAACGTAATCTAAAATTCTAAATAAGTAAAATTATAAATTCTCGTTCTAATTAAATGATGAACTAAATTACATGTTAACTAATGATAAATAGCCAGCTTTAAATGTAATCTAAAATTATAAAGAAGTACAATTATAAATTCTCGTTGTAATTAAATGATAAACTAAATTACATGGTAACTAATGATAAATAGCCAGTTTTAAATGTAATCTAAAATTCTAAATAAGTACAATTATAAATTTCCGTTCTAATTAAATGGTAAACTAAATTACATGGTAACTAATAATAAACATCCAGTTTTAAATTTCATCTAAAATTCTAAATAAGTACAATTATAAATTCCCGTTCTAATTAAATGATAAACTAAATTACATGAGCCAGTTAAATAGCCAGTTTAAAGGTCGAAAGTTAGTGGTAACTAATAATAAATAATAAATAAAGTGAGTGGTAACTAATACTAATAATGAGTGGTAACTAATAATAGTGAGTGGTAACTAATAATAAATAGCCAGTTTTAAATGTAATCTTAAATTCTAATTAAGCATAAACTATGAACCTTACCGTAGAAAACCAATTTGATAACTATGAACCTTACCGTAGAAAACCAATTTGATAACTATGAACCTTACCGTAGAAAACCAAACATGCCTCACTCCTCCTTTCCCCATACGCCTCACCCGTCCATGCTGTATAGCAAGTAATAGCGTCATGAGTCAGGAACATAAAGCGATGAGTAAATACAGCACACTTAATTGCATCATAGTGGTAAGAGAACAAGATCGTGTGGTTCTTTGCGTCGCCGTACCTGCAGTGCATGGCAAGTACACTGTTAGAAAAATTACTGTTAACGGTATTACCGGCGTTTCAGTGGCCGGTCGGCACGTGAAAAGAAACGCCGTGTCGCCGTTTTTATTCCAAATTAACACTAGAAATCCGCAAAAACGGCGAAACAGTTCATTTTCACGGGGCGACCGGCCACTGGAACACCAGTGGTACCGTTTTTTCTGGTCCCGTTTTTTCTGGTCCCGTTTTTTCACCGTTTTTCTAACAGTGTAATAGCGTCATGAGTCAGGAGCACACAGCGATTAGTAAATACAGCACACTTAATGTTACATTATAGTGGTAAGAGAACAAGCTGTGCCACGCTCATGGTGTGGTTCTTTGCGTCACCGTACCTGCAGTGCATGGCAAGTAAAGCGTCATGAGTCAGGAACACGCAGCTATGAGTAAATAGGTACTTAAATACGTACAATTAATTGCATCATAGTGGTAAGAGAACAAGCTGCTCCACGCTCGTCGTGTGGTTCTTTGCGTCACTTGTACCTGCACTTACACTTCTTACTTAATAATGAACTCAAATCGTTAACCAAGCACAGATTTACGCACTTTTCGAAGAGCTTTTCGACCATGGGCATCTTGAGGAGCGAGTGGTAGAAAGTGACGAACTCCTCTGCATCCAGCACTTGTTCTCCTTGGCTAGTCGAGTTATTTGTGTTAGCTTTCTGCCGAGAAAAGAAATCATAGGTCAGAGGCAGGGATTATAATACAGGAGGGCATTTACCCAGGGGTTATACGGTATATACAGGAGCGTAGCAAGACTTTTCGCGATAAGAAACTAAATCGACCTATGTATGAGCATTGGCTTAATTCACTATACCATTATATCACAAAAAGAAAATCTGCTCGGTAATTTATTGTCCTTCATGTAACTTGTCAATGAACTTCAATTTAATGTGTGCTGCAAAGCTTCATAAAACGAAAAGACTCACGAATGGAAAGTCAGAAATTTTATTTAAATAAAAATTTTAATTGAGAAATACCATGACTCATTCCCGTCTATATGAAATAAAATCTGGTACTGCACATAGAACATTACATTGAAGAAGTCTGTCCAGGAAAAATAAAATTTATGAATTCAATTTTGACTCATTTGAGTCATATAAATTACTGCCGATTGTGTATATATAATGATAAATTATGTAGGTATTACTGCCGATGTAAGATTTCGATCTATCGCTCGTCGGTGCCGAGGTACGTAGAAGCCATTTAATTACATTATTAAGTAGGAAGTGTAAGTATTGTAATTGAAGCTTCACTTTACTTTACGTAGCACCCCTTCAATTACATTATTAAGTAGGAAGTGTAAGTGTAAGTAATGTAATTGAAGCTTCACTTTACTTTACGTAGCAGCCCTTACATTAAAGAGCTCCTTGATGCTCCTCTTGTCCAGCTTGAGGCTCAATTGATTGAGCAGCTTGATGGTTTCTTCCATGTTGAGGGCTCCGCTTTTGTCTTTGTCAGCGGCTTCAAACTTGTTCTTCAGCCACCTGAAATCAACTACAGTGATGAAGTCAAAGCAAACATTTTGCTTTGACTAACGAATAACTAACCTAACGAATATAGAAAATATGATAACAGCATTACACCAAAAACTTGCGACCCAGTTGCCGATAACTACAGCCATTATTACTACATTATAACAACCAACTCAGTGCGGCCATTAGATAAAAATATAACTCAGTACTCACTGCAGTGAGTGACAGAGAGCGCATTTTCTTGTCGACGAAAACGTGAAGTCACGGACGGACAGACAGACAGACATGGCGAGCACAATAGTGCATTTTTTCCATAAATGAGAAAATGCGCTAAAAATCACAGTAATTTCGGCATCAAAACAACAAAACTTAATCTGAAGAACCTGGCAATACAAGTATGACAACGTAGCAAAATACAGTTGTAATTACATCACCGGTCAGTGTCTTACGACATTGACAAGCAACATAAACTCTTTCGACACATTGTGTAAATCAAAATTGAGACTAAAAGCCACGTACACGAGACGCAAACAAACGGTCTCATGAAACTAGATTCTCGAAAATTCTGATTCAAAGAAACTAAATTTTCGAAAAAAGCATGCATACACTGAATATGAGTTGAATCTCTTACCCATCCTCACCATTAATTGCTACGAGAACTTCGTTTATACGGCAATCGTCCAGCACCAGAAACATCTCTCAACCACATATTATTCCACAACATATTATTTTGGTCTCATTAGATGTTAATTTCACAACAAGATCTCGATTGTCACACACGTTTATTAAAACAGAGCACGTACTCACATGTCGTATTGTCTGTCTTGTTGTAAACTACGGAAACTTTCAACGAGATGTCGCAGCCCTGCAGTCCAAAGGTTCTTCTCGGCCTCTGACTCAGCAATGAGATCCAGCGTCTCGAGGCCTCCGTTACCATGCACGATCGAGAAGCATTTGTTCTCGTCGATAGTTTCAACAGAAGTCTCGCCTGCACATGTGTCTCATCAGCACATGGTATTGAAAAGCTATGTCGTCTATATTCCAAAAGAAATCGAAAGGTATAACGATAAACCGGAAGGACTTAAATCAAAAAGAGAAGTCAAAAGCTATTAGAAACTCTCACAATGTTCGAGTTCATTAGTTGTACATGAAGCAGATATTGGTTAGAGTGATAATTAATACAAGAGTAACGTTCAACCATTGAACGTCAAACATCAAGGACAGAATGAAAATAAACTCGTTAAAGTTATCAAATACATATTTAAAGCGCCTAAGTAAGAAAATAAATTTTACCAATAATGATAACCGGATATTGGTGAAGCGCGGGATAAATTTAATCAACAAGGCATGGCGAGAGGAAGCAACACTGACGGACTCACCAGCCTTCTTGGTCTTCTCGTAATAGTCCGATAGCCTGTTGAAGGTGTCGGTCTTCCAGCCCTCACGCACCTCGGCCACGTCCACCAGCGACACTACAGCCACAGCAAAGCCGTTAGTAACACTCAGCCATTACTCAACACTCAGCCATTACTCAAGGATGTATAGTAATACTCAGCCATTACCCATGGATGTAAGTATAGCAATACTCAGCCATTACTCAACGCTCAGCCATTACTCGTGGATGTATAGTAATACTCAGCCATTACCCATGGATGTACGTATCGCAATACTCAGCCATTACTCAACGCTCAGCCATTACTCGTGGATGTATAGTAATACTCAGNAAGTAATGCAGGAACACCGACTTAATGGCTAATTAGTAATAATTATGCATGGGATTAACATATAAACATACATTAGAATAGATTCCTTACGGTATCCATGAACTAGACACGGAATAAAATTGAGATCAAATTTCTTCCTTCCTTCAAGACTTAATCACCGTGACCATACAACACAATTGTTAGACAACAACAAGAATAACAAAGAAGTTAGACTCCCGGCAGCTGGGGTATTTAATCATCGAAATAATTGGCAACATCACGAGGAGATTCAATATCAATTTCAATACCTATTTGAATCTGAGCTGCTAACACATTTAATTAGGGTAACAAACTCGTTAAGTCGACATTCAAAGGAGAATATTTTTACAAGTAAACGTGACATTGTAAGAAAAATATAACTCAGTACTCACAGCAGTGAGTGACAGAGAGCGCATTTTCTCGTCGACGAAAACTTGAGGTCACGGACGGACGGAGGGACAGACGGACAGACAGACAGACGGACATGGCGAGCACAATAGTGCATTTTTTCCATAAATGAGAAAATGCGCTAAAAATGTCGCACAAGAATATATATAGTGGCAATGTCTTCATCGTTCTCAAACTACTAACGAATTTAAACGGTGCTTCGAGAACCTGTAGAACTTCTGACTAGTAAATGGTACTGAGAAAATTATTCGGACTTATGCGAGATAAAAACTAAATAATGAACTTCAGTGAAAAAACCTTGAATAATAATGAATGATTGAAATCGATATTTATCCTACAAAATACAATTAAATGTCGTCACACTCATGGTACCAAAAAGCCAGAAAGGTTGAGTCATGTGTTTGATCACTTTATTTATGTGCGGATTACAGGAGACATAGGCTGAAGTTAAGAAGACGAAACACTGAACAAAATCTTCTAAAAAGAAATTTTTGCACGTTATGATGTTACACTAAATTAGCGTTATGGTTGTCTAGCAACTACTGTAGAAATTACATGCACAACCCAATAGAAGCCAATGAAAATTTTCTATCACAAGACAAAATAGATGAGGCAACATGGTTGCCGGGACAAATAAAGGAGTTACGGAAGCATGCATGACAACATGCAGACTAAGGGTAACACAAAGGATGCAGGAAGGCAGACTATAAAGTCAACTTGAGAGAGCATTTTACCTGCCATTTCCATGCCTCCATCGCCTATAGGTCCACCAGCGCCACAACCATAACGAGGAGCAAACCATTAGTGGACAAGAAGACGACATAGGAATATCTAGTTACGCAGCACAATATCACAAACTTACATTTGTGATATTAAGAGATAAGTGCATGATTCTAAACATAATTTTTCATTATCTCTTCAGAAGACTGACGGGGAAATGACGAGCGGGCAGATATTCAAAACTAAATTAAAGACGACCGCAGGTACCTCCAACTCTCAAGAGCATTACAAGATGAGTACAATTAAATCCTCAAGAAAAAATAACATAATACAATAATTTACTAATTAATAATTTAATAGAGAATATAATTTACATTCCACATAGTGATTGATCAAGTCGATGATACCAGCGTCGGACCGGATTTTACCATACAAATCATAGTTATAACAGGGAAATATATTTTAGAAGAGGGTCACAGATGAACATTGCAACGTTGCCAGTCTTTGAAGAGCATTGCATAGGAAACATGGGATTTCAAAAAGGAACCATAAAATAGGGAAGCTTAGCTTTGAGTAAACGCAAGACGATGCGTAACACAAACGTATAATAAGAGATACGCCCACGAATACTACATTAATCAAATGATCAAGCTAGTGCAGGTCGGGGAGATACAACGAATACTATATAGCTAAGCATTGTTCTTCATTCACATAAACACAGATTCGTTCAATTAATCAGCAGGTCTTGTCTACAAATATTTGAACAATTCTATCGGTCCATAACTACTTCTGGACATCTCCAACCTGGAATCCATGCATGTTTAAAATAACATTACTGTTTCACGGTTCAAGGTTGATGTAAATGTTTGTTGATACGCTTTTACTACATTACTGATGAAAGCTTGTTACTGCGTGGAACTACCGGCATGCGTTTCATCAAAATATTGGCTGCAGTTTATGTAGCTCTTTACCACTGAATTAATTTAGGTTAGGTTTAATAAAAATTTGTGCCTATTTTGACAATAAAGATTGAAATAATTTTCCTCAACTGAAATAAACTCCATAATAATAATAATAAACTCTATAATAATAATAATAAACTCTACAATAATAATAATAAACTCTATAATAATAATAATAATAATAAACTCTAGAATAATAATTCAGGTTCTCACCTGTAGAGTCACTGAGACTCCACCATTTCTTGGACTCGCCCAGTAGCCTCATGTTCTCGACGTCCACTTTGAACTTTCTAGGGAAGATTTTGTTTACGCCGCGCACCTTCTGGAACGAAGCGCCCTTTTCCAGCTGCTTTACCGTCTTCTCCATGCCTGCGCCGAACTCAAGGACCGCCTCTGCGCATGTCACGTCCAATAGTAAAAGTCTTGAAACGTACATCTAAAGTCACTCAAGCTACATAAAATCAATCGATCAATCGTACAATTCAGGAATAGAAATCTTTGTTTTTGTAATCATGTGGTATAGAAATTATTTCGTTATAACTTAAAAGAGATGCGCAACTCGCAGATACCCCTCCGAAAATTAGTTCAAACGGAACCTACGAGGGTCATCCGGAAAGTATATAGTACCCGTATGGGAATTGAACAAAAGGAAGTAAATATTAACAAATGTACACATGTTTATTGAAAAAAATATGTATTACACTACTCCTCTACATAATCTCCGGACAAATTTAAACATTTGTCGTATAGTCTCACGAGTTTTTGTATACCAGTGTCATATTCCTCCGCCACCAGTGTTTCTGGGATCGGCAAGGCGCACTGCTTATCGATTTCATGACCCGTGGAGACACAATCAAATAGTGTAATACATGTTCTTTTCAATAAACATGTTTACATTTGTTAATATTTACTTCCTTTTGTTCAATTCCCAAACGGGTACTACTTTCCGGATGCCCCTCGTAAAATGTCGTTCAATACGGTACTTAATTGATTCGTCACACTACGCCCGGCCGGTAGGTAGTGCAGAAGGCCATGATTGAACTAGTATAAGGACCAATGAGAAGCTAATTTTTGCGGATGTAGTTTGTTGTTCGCCTATGACGTCACTGTTCTGTGACGTCACGGGCATTAACCATTCACCGAAATGCGATCAAATCAAAGCACTCAACCAATTCGTTATGGGAATGACGGGATTGTTTACGTTTCTCGATTTCAGTGACGTAACAAGAGAGCTGAACTGAAAGACGGAAATCCTCGTGGGTCAACCTTATATAGTTCAACCATGCAGGAGGCTTCCCAGCTACACCGGACGTGACGTTGAACGCAAGCAGTCCGCGATCGCGTTGTTGCCTCGTCCGAGCTTTTGCTACAGATTTACAGTATAAAAAGCTTCTAAATTGAGTATAACAGGCGTCTAAATAATTTATTATTAACCATATCATAATAAATATATGTACTAAAACATAATATAACATATATAATATTAATCCCATCATAATATAACGGGCTTTAAAATAGAGAATATGACACATCTTATAAGCCGTGAACAAAAATGTAGAGCCATACGAGACATGGAATGGTTTCATAACAAATAGTTCACTCCTAACATAAGTTACATAAGTTACAGCGAATGCAAGACTACTTCCGATAATTTTAACAACGGCACATTATTTTGTTTCAGCAACCATATGTCCTGGGCAAAAATGTGAACAAGGCCAATATATATTTACATATACGACTAATTCGTGAAATTCTTTAAACGTTCTATTAGATTAAATAAAACCCTTCCGGATTCTTACTGCAATAACCTGAACTATATGCAAGTACACCAATCAAATTTCGCCTTCTCCAAGGATGGAACGCTACATACTACATAACTACAAGAATATCTCATAGGTTATATTTGTTATCTCTGATACGCAGATATTAGTATAGTAGTATAGTAAAGTATCTTCGGCATTAAAGAATAGGCCTGGATAGGCCTGTCACCGATTCTTGTACTTTTCTTGACTAGACTTGACTTATTATGATACAATTGTACACTTCCAGTTGTCGCCGTAAATATTCCAAGGCGTGCACACTGTAAGAGCACCGCCTAATTACGCAACACACAGAAGGACGTCACTCGACTATAACGCAATGCGTACAAAACCACAGTACAAACGGCGAGAAAGTGGCCTGTGTGGTAGCGTACAGAGCATTTATTTGCGATTACAAATAGTGTGGGAGGACAAGAGCTGACTTGTATAGCGATAGTTGGGTGTGACTTTCGACATCTGTTAGGTCTCTCTCACTATAAACATTTAAATTGGTACTTTATTCAGTCGGTGACTTCCCTCATTAATCGTGAGATTAATTATGGAAATGAAACTGTATAGTATGCTTGCTATTACTTTTTCTTCAACGAGCAATCAAAGGCACCTAGGAGGTAAGTTTAAATTTGTTTATCCTAGACTGTTAGGGCGATACAGGGAAACGTTTTCTTGCTCGAGAATCCGCATTAATTTTAAATAAGCCAGAGTTTTCGCAACAAAGTCTGGTGCAAAAATATGTACGAGCCTAGACTCCGATTGAGCCTCTTACAAAAAGACTTAGCACAGAAAGCACAGGCGAACAACTCTACAGATACCCTAATCAAAGTAAAATAAAATTAACGGTTATATTATGGCTCATGCGTGAGCGGTTGGTTAGAAACATAAACGCTCACGCACTATTGCACGAGTGACTGTAGTAGAATCTTTCAGAACGCCATGGAAACGAAACGAACACGGAGATTGCCGGTGGCCTTTCTGAACCTTAAGGTTAATTTTGTTGCTAGTAATGTGCACTTGAGTCGCCTGAGACTTGCTAAATCAGCATTTTTTCTTAGTCATTATGTGCAAAACGCTATTAAGCTTCGCTACTCGGCTTGGGACCACACTCACAAATACCATCTCTTAACTGCTATGCTACCATGCATCTTGATATGCGATCTAGGCTGATTTCCCTTCCAAGCCAAGGTTTCCCTTTGGTTTCAAGCCTTTTTTAAACAAACGAGTTATTCAAGCACGTATCAACAATATACGTACCATGCACGTATATTGAACTCAGAGATCTTGGTCAACATAAGTACACAAAATAATTGCTTTAGATACAGCGCTCGAAATTTTAAATCCAACCGTCAAATTTAAATTGTTTGCTTTTAACGTCAGGCATAGTAGAATCTTGAGGCAAGCTCAGATATAAACTTTCAACCGGAACTACAGGTTTCCGTGAAAGTAACAAATAAATAGGTTGTTGTAAAAACAAAGCCAGTTGCACGCCTATCAAACAAACTTGTTTGCCGACGAAGACCATGAAAGTTACAGAGAAAGCCAGATACGATAAGATAGGTGATAAATGCTCGAACGATATGAGAATCATTTTTTTCAACATATGTTGTCGGCACGCAATAGCCGATAAGTCTTTGATCTACCGAACTTTTTATTATACGTATTTTATATTCCGTGAATTTTTTGAATCTCCAAGAAAATACTTGATAATGGAGAAAAATCCTTCAATAACGTCTGTGCAGTAATAATGCAACAGCCCGATCAGGAAAATAAAGAGATTGAAGCCATCTGAGACACAAAGAGAACTTGGCAACAAAATAAAACGAAACAGTGACTTTAGCAGGAAGGTGTCATCCCAGTGAGTTGGGTTCGAAATATGAGCCGTCGGTTGTCTCTGCATATACATATAACTATCATATCTACGCATACTATTGAGCAAGCTGAGTTGCAAACGCGTAACACGAAATATTCTATGAAACATTTTCAAGCATACACGAGTCAAACGTCAGAAAGGACAATCTTACTGAAAATAATAAAGACAGTACATTGGATTTCAAAATAAGTTCAGTTCACTTTTCAGTCAACTTTTAAAGGAGTCGGCCTTTGGTTTGAGTATTCCATAATAAATCAAGTAGAGAAGTACATACTACATATAGATAGTCTTTCTATAAAGAGAATACAAGTTAGGACATAAACAAACTAATCATTCAAAGTTCAACAGACAAAGGGCGAGTTTTTTCAAACAGATCTTCATACCGCTACGCATAGAATGTTTATTTGATGAAATATATGATCCCAGACGTTGCAAATTGATGGGTAAACATTATACGATGAATACATGATGATAATAAAATCAATAACTCCTGTGGATTGCGGCAGTTTGCATTCAAGGCGTGGTGACCCTGAAAGGTTATTCAGGGCGGGATTTAGAGAAGCAATCTGGCACAGCCGAGGAAAAATTTTCTGCTGAGGGGGGAGGGGGGAATAGTCGCATTTATTAAATTAATATATAGCAGTTTCAGCGTTTATGAGGCCGTAGGCCTGTCGCCAATTCTTAACATCGCAGAACATTCACAGCTTGTTACGGTCTCGAACTCACAACTCACTGATTCAAATTCTGCTGTGCTTAGCCGCCCGGCCTCCTTGCCGATTCTATCCACAAATTAATCCAAATTGTTCGTATTCAAACTTTTGAGTAATCAACCGATAAAATTATTTAATGGGGTAATTTTCCTCGATAGTGTAGAAGAAGGTAATACTTTAGATTAAGTGCATTCAAAAAAAGGGTGTTTTTTTATTATATGTTTTTGGGGTGTAGATTAAGAATCTGAAATCCGTTTTTGGCGGTCGGCATCGGAAATTTTTAATGGAACCTGTTCCTAACTGGACCTAACCTGCGAGGTTTTCGTTGATTGGATAGGTTTTTCCGGCCGCCGGACGGACTCCAAACATAGAAAAAACCTAGCCGATCAACGAAAACCTCGCAGGTTAGGTCCAGACCGTCCAGTTAGGAACAGGTTCCATTAAAAATTTTCGATGCCGACCGCCAAAAACGGATTTCAGATTCTTAATCTACACCCCAAAAACATATAATAAAAAAACACCCTTTTTTTGGATGCACTTAATCTAAAGTAATACCCAGAAGAATTCCAATATACATGATACTTCCCAACGAAGCCCGGCGAATATGCCGTCACGTCGCACGTTTTTTGGAACGTTTGTGAGTTTCGCAGCAAAGGGTGCGGTACAACTGCCTCCGCACCGTAGTCACCTTCAGACGTGATCATAAATTTTCACCACGACACCAAAACTAATTATAATTTCCTTCAATACTAATTAGTTCAAACGCACATACTACACAAAACTCAACGAATTTTATGATAAGCTATAGAAATTGAGATCAATTAAAATTTACCTTTCATTTCGTCAGGGGTCAAAGAAAATATCGGAGAAATGAACGTTACAACCACTCACGCACGCGGTTACAGACACACTGACACTCTGACAGTCTGACACTTGAAGCAGAGTAGGACACATTCAAGCGGAGACTCAACTGGTATCCGCACCGGTGGCTTAAAAAAA